GATGGCGATGATGATGAAGATGATTATCATGATGAAGATGATGGTGATGATGAAGATGATGGTGATGATGAAGATGAAGATGATGGCGATGATGATGAAGATGATTATCATGATGAAGATGATGGTGATGATGAAGATGATGGTGATGATGAAGAAGATGATAGTAATGATGATGATCGTGATGATGAAGATGGTGGTGATGATGTAGATGATGGTGATGATGATGATGATGGTGATGATGAAGAAGATGATAGTAATGATGATGGTGATAATGATGAAGATGGTGGTGATGATGTAGATGATGGTGATGATGATGATGATGGTGATGATGATGATGATGGTGAAGATGAAGATGAAGATGATGGCGATGATGATGAAGATGATTATCATGATGAAGATGATGGTGATGATGAAGATGATGGTGATGATGAAGATGGTGGTGATGATGTAGATGATGGTGATGATGATGATGATGGTGATGATGATGATGATGGTGATGATGAAGATGATGGTGATGATGAAGGTTACGCTGATGATTGTACCCATCATAAGAAATGAACAGAGTTGTGTTATTTTGTGAGTTGTAGAGTTGTGTTTTGTCAGCTCGATGAAGACTGGTTTGTTCTGTTACAGATCAGAGCTTCAGTTTCAGGTCGTATTAATAAAACTACAGCTCCCATCATGCATCAGTCCTGTCAGAGCTGATGGACACCTGTCTTTTATTTGAAATTTAAATAAAATATTTTGACAGAAAGTCTTTGTTGACTCTTTATTTATTTATTGTTATTTATTGATTGATTGATTTATGGTTTTATTTATTGTTTTATTGATTAATTAATTTATTGTTTAATTTATTTATTTATATACTGTTTTATTAATTTTTTATTGATTTACTTATCAAATCTTTTGTGTATAGTTTTATTGTTTTATTTTATAGTTTTATTTATTTATTCTTTTATTTTTTTATTTCTATATTGTTTTATTTATTTATTTATTTATTTTATTCCTCCGTTGTTTTTTTTATATTTATTTATTAATGATTCCTGTAGGTCTTAAATTTAAATGTAAAGTTTGATAAGTTAAACTACATTCGGGACGTTTGAGTGACAGCGACCTGTTCTCTCTGACCCCGCCCCCTGTCAGGCCCCGTGGCGGCGGCGGCCCCGGAGGCCCCAGGAAGCAGAAGGAGCTGCCCACGGAGCCCCCGTTCACAGCCTACGTAGGAAACCTGCCCTTCAACACAGTGCAGGGAGACATCGACCTCATCTTCAAAGAGCTCAACATCCGCAGCGTGCGATTGGTCCGAGACAAAGAAACAGACAAGTTCAAAGGTCAGCAGCTCAGATGGTTCTGCTCCACAGGGGGGTCCACTCACACAGGGAGGTCCACTCACACAGGAGGTCCACTCACACAGGGAGGTCCACTCACACAGGGAGGTCCACTCACACAGGGAGGTCCACTCACACAGGGAGGTCCACTCACACAGGGAGGTCCACTCACACAGGGGCACCTCGGACCAGTCCTGGACCCGGGGGTGGGGGGTAGTATTCAGTACCATGGTTGAACATCTAACAGATGTTTTTTATAAAAACTGATCATTTAAACATTTCTGCTTGGAGTTGAAGGAGGTATTCTGAATAAAATGTTAATATCTTACCTGCTGCAGATAGATCTTTGGATGATGTCAGTTGTTTGGACAGGACTGATGAGCTCCTGGCTGGTCAGAGCGGGCCAGGCTGATGATGTTTGTCTCCCTCAGGTTTTTGTTATGTTGAGTTCGATGATCTGGAGTCTCTAAAAGAAGCGTTGACGTATGACGGCGCCGTAAGTATCCAAATATTACAAACCGCTCCGGTCGTGTTCTGCTGCCGCCGGGCCCAGTCTGACCTTTGACCTCTGCAGTTGTTAGGTGAAAGGTCACTCAGGGTGGACATCGCAGAGGGGCGGAGGCAAGAGCGAGGAGGAGGAGGAGGCGGCTTCGGCTTCAGGAAAGATGACGGCAGAGGTAGGAGCCTACAGAACCACAACCAACCGGACCGCTGCTTCACTAACTGCAGCTGGTTCTGACTGCTGGACCCACCTAACCCTGTCCATGTGGGAAAAATAAATAAAAACAGAAACTCTGAATCACCATCATCTACAGATTATAATCTCATCAGATTAAAACTTTTATTAAAAGTCTCTGAAATCATCCATTCTGTTTTTATTTACATTTTATACATCGTCCCAAACTGGTCTTAACTCTGAGTGGTCCGGATCAACAGTTCAGATGTTGGTCTGGACCACMTTAGAAGACCTGAAGGAGTGGATTAAAACTTTTGCACAGTGCCAGGCTCTGTTACCTCTGTGAGGAGGAGGAGGAGCAGTCTTCATCCTCTTCCTCACCTCCTCTGACTCCAACAGGTTCTGGTTTTGCTTTTGTTCAGATCTGCTGCTTTCTAACGCCTGCTCTGATTGGCTGATGGGACACTAACAAGCTCCGCCTCCTTCCTGCTGTCTGTAGAAGGAGGTGCCTCCTCCTCTTCCTCGCTGGTTTTTCTGCTCCTTAGTTTCCTTCCTGTCCTCCCCCTCACTCTTCCTCTCCTCCTTCTCTCCTCCTTCCTCTTCCTCTCCTCCTTCTCTCCTCCTTCCTCTTCCTCTCCTCCTTCTCTCCTCCTTCCTCTTCCTCTCCTCCTTCTCTCCTCCTTCCTCCTCCTCTCCTCCTTCTCTCCTCCTTCCTCTTCTTCTCTCCTCCTTCTCTCCTCCTTCCTCTTCCTCTCCTCCTTCTCTCCTCCTTCCTCTTCCTCTCCTCCTTCTCTCCTCCTTCCTCCTCCTCTCCTCCTTCTCTCCTCCTTCCTCTTCTTCTCTCCTCCTTCTCTCCTCCTTCCTCTTCCTCTCCTCCTTCTCTCCTCCTTCCTCTTCCTCTCTCCTCCTTCCTCTTCCTCTCTCCTCCTCCTCTCCTCCTTCTCTCCTCCTTCCTCTTCCTCTCTCCTCCTTCCTCTTCCTCCTTCTCTCCTCCTTCCTCTTCCTCTCTCCTCCTTCCTCTTCCTCTCTCCTCCTCCTCTCCTCCTTCTCTCCTCCTTCCTCTTCCTCTCTCCT